ATATATATATATATATATATATATATATATGTATATGTGTATTGTTGAAGTAATTCTAATATAAATATTAACTTTCGATTCCTCATATATTCATTACAATGTTATTATTCTATTATAAACTTATGTATGTGTATTTTCGTAGGAAATTCTAATTTTAATTTTAACCTTTGACTATTTACTTATTCTTTGCCGAATAATGACATAAAGTTGTCGATACAAAATTCATTGCAGAATAATAACATAAAAAAGTGTTTTTACGTTCTCACACTATTTACTGTTTTTATTTGAACTGTCCCCTATATATATATATATATATATATATATATATATATATATATATATATATATATATATATTACTTTGTAAATCTCATGTTTCACATGCATATTCATGTATCATCTGGTTTTGGATTGATAGAATGTTTTTTGATTGTATGGTTAAATATAGCAATGTTGTAATGTTATTTTATGTATTCTGATGAATGATTTTTTTTTGGATCATATCATTGCTAAAATAACCTTTTTCTTTTTAACATTTCAGTTACGGTTGCAACGTTGACAGATCTTGGTTTCTTATGGTTTAAAGAATTTTATTTGGAATCTTCACGTGTCATTCAAGTAAGCCTCAAAATTCAGTAATAAATATATATCATCATGACTGTTTTACCGTTGATAATAATTTTGGCTCTTATGGATGTAGTTTCCTATTGATTGCTCCCTTCCTTGGATGTTGGTGGACCATGTACTGGAGTCACAAAATAGTGGTCTTCTTGAAAGTGTTCTGATGCCATTTGATATATACAATGATTCTGCTCAACATGTGCTGGTTGTGCTCAAGCAACGCTTTATCTATGATGAGATCGAAGCTGAGGTAATTTACCTTGAATATCTTTAAGATTTGCATTATTGCATAATTTTGCTTTCCTAGATCATTGTTTTCTATTCGACAATAGCTATAACTCTAGATATGTGACTTTACCCTAACAATTATAAAATTTCTGTTTTTCCATTTATACTCTCAACAGAAAAGAAATCATGATTTGCTTCAGTTTGACTCTCGGAATACTTACTAAATGTTTGCATATGTTTTTTAGGTGGGTAATTGTTTTGATATATTTGTCTCGAGGTTGTCCGAAGCTATATTCACACATTATAAAAGTGGGCTGCTATGCAACACCCTTCCCTTTACTTTGAATTTGTCCTATTAGAGTTCACCGAAAAATGTAGTTGTCACAAATGAGCTTCTTGATCTTTCATTCCTTTTCCCATTGGATAATGGAGAAAAGTTCTTTGTCCCCACAATGCAGTTCACTGCCCTACTCAACATGAAAAGAGTCAAGGTAAGCAAAATATCTATATTGCCCCAACTGTGTAACTGTAACATTATCTTTCTCACACACATATTTATAACCTACATTTACTCGGAAGAACAATCAACTTGAGAAGCTTGATATCTGAGAGGATGAACAAATTATTTAGAGACAACCTTGAATTTTTGCTTGATCGTTTTGAATCCCAATCTTGTGTGCTATCGTTGTGAGTAATAGCAACTTTTATCTTTTGTATCATTCTACCTGTTATTTGATGTTCTTTTGTTTAATCTATCTAGGGTTCTTTGGGCTACCTCACATGTTCTCAATTGTACGACTTTTAGGTTACAGATCATTGCCATGGCTTATTCGTGCACTACTGTATCATATATCAACCAAGGTACACATGATTATTTTACATGGTTTAGTTAAAAACAGCCATCCAACTATTTGTTGTGTGCACATTTCGTCACTCTGGAATTTTCTTTTGTACATATCTTATCGGGTCCCTAACATTTTAAATTTTTATCAAATACATTGTTATGACCGGCTATAGTTGGTTGCTGCTTGCATTGTTGTATAAGTAATAATAATAATCATAATTATTATTTGTAGGTGTCGGTTCTTAGGATTACTCCACATGGATGTTTTCCATCAACAACTTGAGCATGTTTTTTTTCTTCTTTTCTGGTCTTTTAAAAAGGGAAAATTACATAAAAGCCATTACTTTTATCGACCTTTTAGCTAAAACGCCATTATGCAACATAGTTTATGTAAAAAAAATTCATAATGGGTTTTCAAGTAAAATGTTGATAGTGTAATGGCTTTTCTGTAATAAGCCCTTCTAAAATTTTATTTGGAAAGTATTATATGCATATTTGTGTTGTAATATATTTTTGTAATTATATTTCATATTTATTGAAATATTATATATTTATTATATTTTTTACCTATCCTACAAACTTTTCAAATTTATAGTTTTTTTATATGGTAATTATTATCTTAAATTAGGTATGATTTTATCTATTTTTGTAATTATATTTGACATGTTATATTGATCTTATTTTCGATATCATACCATACATAAGACATATTTTAAGTATGGAAATGATATTACATTCCAAAATTTTTATGTCATATCAGCATTAACAAAATTTATATTTCCCTATAAATATTATAAGGTCTACGATTTTTCATTCCAAATCAATTTTCTCTGTAACTAATTATCTCCTTTTCATTGCAGATAATAGTATTCCATGGCAACTAACAATACTGATCAGGTCGTGTTTGATAAGGTTTCTTAAATCGATGTATCCAAGGAGTCTTGGAACATACGTGTTAAAGTCTTCTTGCTTTGGAAACAGACCTATAAGAACAATCCTAAAATGGACGGGAGCCTAGACATGATTTAATTGACCAGTGGGTATTTCTACAAACTTTATTATTTAATTGACTATGTGTATGTCGAGTGTATGGAAGATTAAATGTGTCATGTTTCTAGAAACTTTATTATTTAGATTGTCAAATACTTATGTTATTACTTCAAATTTTATGTATTTTTTCCTAAAAATGGTATTCGAATTGCTTCAAATATATGGCAGAAAAATATGGATTTCAATCGATTTCTGTTCTTCTGTTTTATTTCTATTCAAATAATTTTAATAATCAAGTTTATTAATTTTAATAATCAAATTTAGTCTATACATTGAATGCCTTATTATTCCTCTCTTTTGCATCCATCTAATAAATTTACGATTCTTAAAAATCTAGAGATTTTAGTTCCCGATCGTTTCATTCACTATTACTTTTTATATAGTCTTATTAATTTTAATAATCAACTAAGTATGTCGATTTCTTCTTATTATTAATTGTGTCATGTTTCTACAAACTTTATTATTTAGATTGTCAAATTTTTATGTTATTACTTCAAATTTTATGTATTTTTGCATAAAAAAAAGTATTCTAATTGCTTTTTATATGTGGCAGAAAAGGGAAATATACAAAAAAACCCAATCTACATTTACAATTTATTTCGACATTAATAATGATCTTTTTGCTTATTGTTTTTTTTTTGTTTTATAGTTCTCATCATTCGATATTAAAGATGGCGTTGCCGCTCCTTCTTTGAAGAGCCCAAAAATGGAAAGGCCCGAATAACTTTAAGTCATTCATCATTATCTGATATTTTGTGTTGAAGACTTTTTTTAAATAGCTTTTATTGTTTGCTTATGAATTTATTTGACAAATAATTTCTTTTGATTTAAAAGTTTATGTTTTTTTCATCTGGTTCACATAAATTTTATTTTTTTTAAAATTATTATGTGTTCCCCGCGTTTAACGCGGGTTATAATCTAGTATCCCTAAAAAACAGCAATTGATTTTCCAATTTCTCCCTCTTAAACCTCTTTAATTCCATGATTCACTACCACTAATACCTCCTACATTCTATGTCAAATACGTCAAGATTTACCTGCGATTTAATTTCATAAAAAAAAGACATCAATAAATCACGTCTAATGCTCTAAATTAGCTGCATTTAAATTTTAAATTATATTATACAGATATAAATATATAGAGATATTATAGAGATTATAGAGATATCGAGATATGATATCCCTGAAAATCATTCAATTTACAATCACTTTATCATTTTACCTATAAATACGTATAATGATCGATCCATAAAATTGTTTTCTTCACTTCTCTCTTCAAGGCTTTCAGCGTATAATTCTTCTGCATCTCTGCATCTACATTCACAAATTTCGATCCATCAGGTTAGTTTACAAAACTCTTCACTTCCATCGTCCTTTTTTTTCTGAAACGATAATCATAGAAGTCAATCTGACAATATTTTTTTTATATAAAAAAAACATTCTTCACTCTTCACATATGTTTGGGTACATAAAAAACTTTATATGCACATTACTGTTATCTGTATAAATATTTTCTAGTATATTGTTGTTTTTGAAGCTTTTATACAAATGGATAACTTCAAGTAATATACATAAAAGGGCAACATACTTTGAAAGTATCCTGCCATTTTATGTATATTGCATGTTGTTTATATCTTTTAGACAATTTATGAATATCACATGTTTATTTAGGACTTTGATAATTTTACCCTTTATGTCATTGTAAACCATACTACTTACTCACCATTAAGTTTCATTTCATGAATTTTTAATTTTGAAAAACAGGGAATATTTTTCTTCACTTTTATTTTTGTCATGTATTTATAATATCACCCTATTTTACAGATTCATGGTTGTTGGTGATTTTACTCTCATACGTGATCTTGATGTCTTGAAGGACATGTTCACTATGAAGCTTCGTATTATCAGATTATGGACACTAGAAGATTACTATAACAAAGACGAAATTTTCTCCATTCAACTTATTTTAATGGACGAACAGGTATACTATATATATGGTTTTAATTATTTACATGTTTATATTTATATTTATGTTTTTAACTTTTTAATTTGATAACCAAACTTGAATATTGATGTTAATATACATCATAATTTAGGGTAACAAGATCCAAGGTTATGTCACCAATGCTTACATTTACAAGTTTAGAAAAGTTCTAAAAGAAGGGGAAGCTTATTTCATCAAAAATCCAAATTTAGCAAAGATGGATGAAGGAAAATTTCAACTAACTGATCAAATGCAAAAGCTCACCTTCAATCGCGAGACTACTGTCACTCCATGTCTCGATTTTTTTGGATCAGTTGTTGGGTTTGCTTTAATTAACTATCATCCCATTATCGCCGGCACTGTTCCACAAAATATTTCATTGGGTTAGTATTATTTGTTTACCTAAGAATTTATATATTTTAAATAACTTATTTTTTTTCTACCCTTCAAACAAAAACTAATTTCATTTGTTTGTTTGTATGCTGATATATAGATGTTATCGGTTTGGTGGTCGCAATTGTTGAAATTGATGCTCGAAATGAAGATAGAAAGAGGCATAAGATGAGACTACAGATCCAAGATCTCAAGTTTGTTTTTAATATCTATAAATTAATTATTGTGTATATTAGCTATTTTGATTGCAATATAAAAAAAAAATTTATTATTTGTAATTTGTAATTCCCATCTTTTTTGTTAGGGGTTCTCAATTGGATGTTAACCTATGGGGTGATTATTGTTACACATTGTCGGATTACATCCAAAAGAATCCAAACATTCTCCGGATTGTCATAATCCTTCAATTTGCAAAGATTAATGTCTGGCAAGGTATAATGTTTTTTTTTATTATGTTTTATATTGCAATGATTATTTACTTTTTTTTTTATTTTTTTTATAGATCGGCGATATGTTAATACATATTATGATGTATCAAAGTTCATCATCAATAGTGACATTGATGAGATAAAAGTTTTCAAAAAAAGGTATATTACATTATGTTATTTTTTTGTTAATAATAAATGGCAATGTATGTTATAAATGATGTAACTTGGTGGTTAATTAACAATTTGAATCAAGATGGTCCCCATGAAAACTCATCCAGTACTTTCTCCTATATGAAATCTAATCAAAGTTCTAAAAAGGATGATTTTGTGTTTAATCATGAGCTGAAAACAATCGCTGATATTTTCGAACCGACTGAGGTAAGAAAATTCTGAAATTTTTATCAATCTTTCTAATTTTTTTTCATAAATAATTTATGTAATTAACACATTCGTTATTTAATATTCAATACTTATAATATTATTGTCTTTTTTAAATCAGATAAAAAAGTATGTTATTGTTGCGACCATAAAAGGAATTCTTCAGCACACACATTGGTATTACCCGAGATGTACATATTGCAATACAAAGGCGGTTCCAAAAAATCCTTCCGATGAACCCAGTGTCACCGGATCACTCAAACATGCAACATATGAATGTCGAAATCCAAAATGCACAAAAACTGAAACATTGACAGTTCCGAGGTTAATACATTTTGAAAAACTCAATTTTCATATAATAGTAATTTCCAAATTATGTTGAATAATTTTGAGAATTTTACATTTCTTGAAAGGTTCATGATTCCGGTAAGAGTTCAAGATCATACTGGAAGTATGACTTTAACAATGTTTGAACAAGATGCGAAAAAGCTTCTAAAAATTTCTGCAAAAGATTTAGTCGTAAAAACAGCTAAGGTGAATGTTTTTCTTATTATTATTTAAAAACAAATTATTGTTATTATATTTAATTACATCTTTTTATGTTTTTACTTGCAGCTTGGTTTTTCTACTAACGTATACCCGTCTGATATTAATGTATTGAAAGATATGAAATTGGCTTTCATAGTTTCTGTTTCAAAATACAATGTGCAAAGGAACACCAATTAATATACTATTTCCAGGATTAGTGATGATGAGATTATGATTGAGGAGTTGGAAAAAAAGTTTATCGTTGCAGAAGTTATTATAATTGATTTTTTTTCCAAAATATAATATACTTAAAAAAAGGCTTATTAAATTTTCTTTTGTGTTTTGAACAGGGAGCGAGCTAATTCACAATCGTTTGAACATGGTACCACTGATTGTGAATCTCAAGATAACATATTTATAAAGGTGTACTCTATGTTATCTAAATATCTCATGTTAGTATTATCTTTAACTTTAATAACCTCTAATAATACTAATTTTCTTTTATAATTTTAGGATGCCATATCTCAGACTGATGATAATGTAACACCAATGAATGTTTTCAAATCGACAGCAACAAACCCAAAAAAGAATTTGGATGCAACAAAAGTTAAAACCCTAGATCCAAAAAACCTAAAAACCTTTTGCTGATATACGTTGATCACACTCTAATCCCTCTCCGTTCTCAGTCCCGACTCTCTGTTTTCACCATCTTCTTCAGCTGTCTTACAATCCCCTTCGATCAAGGTCCGCCGGTAGACTCATACGGCGTCACTACCCTGTAGGACTCTCCAAATATTGCATGCCACTGCTGCACGACTCTTCGTTGGTACATGTCTTCATTTGCTTTTGAAAATCCTTTGATCACTTACTTGACTGTATTCTGCATTCTTGAAGATAAGTTCCCGTCGTAGCTTTTTTGTGATACAAAACAATCAACTTTAATATTATACGGATTATATGATATATAATTATTATTGTTTGTTTTCTATTTGTTTTAATAAACTTTTATAATTTATAATATAATTGGTTTGTTTTTTAATTAAGATTAAGATTATTAGTTTATTTATTAAATCCTTTAATACTTTGATTTCATTTGTTAAAAAGTAATTAATTTACCAATTTCTTTATTTGTTATTTGAAAATAAGTTATATAATTTTCTTGGGTTCCCGATTGATGTTGATTCAATCTCAAAGTCGGAAACAACTATTGAAGGCCATTGCAATGACCTTACATTTTCAAATCCATTTTTCATTTATTCAAATACATGAGGGTAAAATAGGATCATTACCTTTTTTTCAAATACTTTTAAAGTACTCATCATATTTTATATTTTTTTTATAATATTTTTTATAATTGTAACATTATACATAACTTTTATTTAACGTACCATTTGTATTTTAAATACTAATTAAATTTATTTTCATATACAGATGATAGAATATACAATGGATTCCACTTCAGCTAAAGAACGACGAAAATTTAGGAAACTATATTTGGATAATAGAAGATTTAAAAAAATACCTACCATATCAGACGGTCATACTTCATCTACCTGACCACCTTTTAACAGTACCCACAACGGTAATTTTTTCGTATGTTAGTTTTTTTTGTATAATTAGTATGTTATTTGTTAAATAATAAAAAAAATTAAAATCTATATAATTAATTAATATTAATGATTTTTTTTCCTTGTTAACTATATTTCAAATTATATGTAGCTAATGCCTTCGGTCATCGTCACCATTTAAAAAGTAGCTCTAATAAAATTTCTCAATATCATTGCTCAAGCTTTCAATCTCCTTCGGACATCAATTATATGACTCCCCTATCCAATATATCAAATGGTATGTATAATTTTTATTATTGTTATTATACATACTTATTTGAATCAATGATTTTAATTTTAAATAACTATATAAAATAGCTATTCATTAATAATTTAATTATATTATTTGATTAATAATTACGACATTTTAGTATGAAAATGTAATTAATTTCGCAACCGTAGTTCCCACGGGTTATAAACTAGTGAATACTATATATCTCTAGTTGTAGTCTTTTAGATTATCAAAGTAGCTAATGAAAAGTTGGTGATGACTCGTGTTTATTAATAAACCCGCTAAGGATCTTTCCCCATTTTTTATAGTTTTTTTTTATCACATATAAAGGTTTTCCTAAAAAAAACATTTTATTATGACATAAAAATGTTTTATTAAAAACGTATTAAGATGCTGTAGTTGGATGCATTTTTTCAATTTATAAAACTAGCTTCAGAAAATATTTAATCATTACAATTATTATTTTAAAAAATATAATAAACTTTTTTTCCTATGTAAATAACACAAAGTTTACGTAGTTGAATTAGTAATTTTATTTTGCTTTTTTTTCAAAGCACTGTGAAACTTTTTCTTTAAAATTTGACTCTTTCATTTTTTTTTATTAAAATTTTGAACATAAAACCTAACAATAACCCTATTTTGATTTCTATTTTGATCAGCTAAATGGCACACCTCATTACAACCATGGGTCATGGCTATTCTCGTCGTCGATTCTCATACCTTGGAGCTTGATCCCTGATTTTCCATGCCCTCGCCCATAACCCTCCTTCCTTCCCCTGCTCGTCGATTCCCAAGTGCATAAACGGCTATCAAATCACCTGAATCCTTTATTGATCATACAAATTTGTTTTCAATCTATTAGAAATTGATTCTAAATCAATTGAATCCATCAAAATCGTAGAAAATTTATTGATTTAAACAGATTGGTGATTTTTCAACAGTGTGATTGTGTGAATCATTTCGATAGTAGAAGCAGAGCAGTCGAAGTGTGCATCACTCATCACTGTTGAAGTGGATTTCAATTAAAGGAAATAAGTACCCATCACTAAATATTTGTAAATTCTTACCAAAAAAACATACACACCGGATACAGTATGAGAGTAGTAATGGTTCCCAAGCAATAACACTTTCACCCAATACACAAAATATTTGCAGCTTCTTGTTTAAAAAATGTGATCTTAATGCATATTAAGTGTTTGATGAAATGCCTCAATGAAATTTTTATTTGTATTTAATCCAACATTGGCCGTATGGTTTGTTCATAGCGGGGTGTTCTGAATTCATGGAGTATTAGAAATTAGAAAACAAATAATATTTAAAATAAACAAGGGCAAAATACAGAAAAACGCAACCATTTATTTATCAACATTCAGAAAAACTCTTATATTTTTTTATATGCAGAAAAACCCTTATATTTTTAATTACCATTCATATTAACCAAAATATTTGTTTTTTAAAGAAATTACCGGTTGTTTTGTAACATTACATTTATATTTTTGTTTTTAGATTAACAAGAAAACATAAATAAATGAAGTTGCCTCTTTTCTAAAGTAAAACATGAGAAATACATAATTTACTCAACGACCATTTACTCAAGCAAGTATAAGTGACATTGTTTATTTTTTTCCATGTCAACCTAAAACCGAACAGGATAAATGTTATGTCAGAAAACAACCTGATAACTTCTTAAAAAACGGATATTTTGGTAAATCTGAAAGATAACTGAAAATGTAAGGGTTTTTCTGCATATAAATAAAATATAAGGGTTTTTCTGAATGTTAGTAGATAAAGGGTTGTGTTTTTCTGTATTTTTTCCAATAAACAAGTTTCATTCTCCAAGTATTTGTCAATTCCAACCAAAAAATTGTACATGCCAAATACAACAATAGAGAAGCAATGGTTGCCAGAAAATGATATTGATATGTTAGCTAGCATTACACTTTCAGATGAGCTAAATTTTCTTGTTATTATAGATAGTTAGTTTTCTTAAATTGTTCAAGATTTAGTATCATGTCTTTTGAAAATTTTTTGATGTCCATCAATGTGAAGAACACTTGTTTTAGTTCGATTGCAGCAACAATAGTCATAAATTATATATTGCCAGAAAGTGCATTGTATTATCTATAAATATATCTAAAGGAAAGAATCTAAACCTTGCTCAGTGTGCATTAATGGCTATGATAATTTTGAACTCTATAACTCATGGTCGCAATATCAATGTAGTTCTTTAATTACAACTTTCATGTGATAAAACTTGAATAAAAAAAATTCATTTCTACATCATATGGGATAACATGGATGTAACACTAATTGATTTTATATATCACAAAAAGTGTCAAGTTTGAACTCTGGCAATGAGAGTGAGCAGATTATAAAGGTAATCTGTTTTCTTTTGACACGTTATTATAGATTTCACCCATAAACAATTTGAATAATTAAAAAAGAGTTAAGTTGGATTTTTTTTTAATCATTTTACAGCTTCTTAGCAACACCATAATCTTTATATAGAGTTTAATACAGACAATTTAATGAGTACCATTCCTTCGTTTTATTGTCTCTTAGCAACACCATAAATATTACATAACCTAACAAACTTTTAGTATGGATATTAGAGCCACCAAAAAACAACAGTATAATAAGCTAATGATGGATTAAAAGTGCAATATAACTTTGAAATTATATATAGTTTGTTTCAAAATCAATTTTGATTTAAACTACAGATTGAACTAATTTTTGGAAAGATATTTAAGCTTGGTAAACCGAAAACTTAGAATGGAAAAAGTTGTCATGAAAAAGTCCTCGTCGACAAAATTATATATAGCGTAATGTTGTTATGTGAAGACTAGATGGAAAATTCGTTGAATGTTTGTACAAGGGAAGATAAGAAGATGATTCATTTGGGTGTATTTCATAAGATAAGCACACGGATGTAATATTAATTGATTTTATGTATAAAAAAGGTCATGTTTGACCTCTGACTAATTAAAGAGAGCAATCAAAGAGACGAATGGTACCCTCTTTGTCTTTGCTTTCCTAGTGGTACATATTCCATTCCATTTAACAAGCCAATTGCGTGTAATCAGATTTAAAACAGTATAAGTTGGAGGATTGAAAAGGGGACAGAGGAACAACCTCCACAATTATCTAAAATATGTGACACGTAATACATACTTGTGAAGTGAGAAAAAACATTATGCAAACATAGTAATGTTAGGATCGAGACACTTAACACACGACTCTAAACACACACACAGCTCACGAAAAACAAGAACACA